TGTCAATAAGGCGCTCATTTGTGCGGAACAGATCTTGCTGCTAATTTCAATATTAATTGGAATCTATTTCTCACAGAATACACCTCACAGCTATATTCAGCCCAATTCAGAATTCTCATAAATTTATGAGCTTGTAATTCAAAATGTCTCAAGAGTAATTTTTTTTTATCTATAAATAATAAATACAAATACGAAAGAGGTGTAACACGCGTTGTAAAAGTGTAAAGAGCAGATTCAGATTCTTTTAATACCGCTTATAAACGACGTTGGACTTGACGTCAGTGGCTCATTGAATAGCATCTTCTAGAGCTCTGAGAGGTTCACAGAATAGAGAGAGAGAGATGATTGACTTAACATTGATGATGGGTGATGTGACAGAATTGTTGTCATCAAGAACTTTGAAATAGAAATGAGAGAGAGCCCCTTTCGATTCTTTGCATCACCCCTTTATTGAATCATGGCTGTTTCCTAGAAATTTCTTCCAAATGGGGGGACATGTGCAGTGCCCCTTCCCTTTAGGCTTCAACCACCTCAACTTCTTCTAAAATTTCATTCTTATCTAGTATTCACAGAATAACGCGTTTTGTTTTAATTGGGCACTATTATTTGTATGTGTTTTTATGTGCTCCGATGGCCCTGCAACTGCAACTCACAATGAGCCAATCTTTAATTTGTTTTGCTCGTCAAGTGTATCAAAGGTCACAAATGAAAATTATTTATTTAATTTAAAATTTTAAATAGGGAATCTTATCCATTCCGATCGGATTAGTAAAATTGGTTTGAATGTTGTATTTTTATTAAAAAGTTATGAGTTCAATGACGCTATTTTTAGCTCATTCAATTTGATCAACTGATGATGGTTCAGTTGGTAAATGATCTAGTTAACATGTTGTAGTGGAGATTTGGGAGAAATTTTACCCCCATTGTGTAGCCAGCCCTAGCCCTATGAAGCAAAATAGTTAAAAATCATCTCCGGTTCAATTCTCGATATATATAAGTTTTTGGATCCATTTGCAGCCCTATAAAATAATTAAAAAAACATAGGATGGGCCCTGCAACTAAACTAAACTAAACTATATGGATTCAAAGTGAATGTTTCCGTGCGAATCTCGGCATTCACTTGTTCTGATTCTACATATTAATCATTTTTATCTTCATCATGTAAGCCTTGTCTCAATTATATAGAGTGGACTATTGGTGGGACCAAATACTTTTTCAGTTGTTATTATTTCAGTCAGCAGTTTTAGAAGCTGCCTCGAACAAGATCTTTGCTTGCAAATATGATGCAGGCAAGTTGATGATCAGAATTATTATTAGTGGGGCTCTAAGTACCCAATTCCCACTTGTTTTTAATTCACTCAGCAGTTCTGGAAGTTTCCTGGAAGGCTGGAACTAAGGCCTGGCCTTTTATCAGAATTTCATTGGGCCCCCCACGAAAGCCTAAGCCCAAAACAGTATAAAATATGCAAATTCAGACCAAATCGGAATAGGTTCCTCCAGGTTTCATTTCACATAAAAGAAGGAAAACGAGTGGTTGTCATTATAATATAAATAACTTTCCTGATTTCCCCAGTGTTTTTTGACTCGATTGGAAAATGAACGTGAATTGCGGATAAACCTGTGGGAGTCATGACATTTCCAACTTTTACTTTATAGTTATGTTTGGTTTGAAGGAAAGGGTAGGAAAAGGAAGACAAAGACAGAAAAATCCATGCAAGGTTTATAAAGGTTTTCTTACTTTTCTTTTCCTTTTCCTGCATTTTCCTTCAAACCTAAAAGGCTCATTTTAGAAGGAATATAAATACAAATTTATATAGTATAAATAATACAAAATATAAGGTTTTACATTATATATTTATTTTTGTTTTCCTTCCAAATTGAGCCTTGGAAAAACCTGTAGTAGGAATCAATTCTCCTTCAGTTTGATCAAATGGAGCCAACCGGCATGGCTCTTGAGAATCAGGATTCCTTACAGAACGCACCTTACACTGATCTCACAATGCACGGTTGGGATGCATTGTGAGGTTGGTGTGAAGAACAGGTCTGGATTCGGCCCTCAAGTCTATAAAGACCCTACTTACAAGATACTATAATCGACATCAGGAATATTTACACACGAATGAATGACAATATGTAAGTAGGGATCACTTTCGGATGGCCAGAACATATCCCATTTAGAAATATTAAGCTTGGCCTAAGTTTTGTGTTTAGAACAGGTCTAGACTAAGTTTAGCCTGTATATTATGATATAAGAAAGACATGATATTAGAAAAACTTTTGACCAATCAACCGGTATCACATAAGGGGTGATCAATCAGGTGGTATTCATCAAAATGCATGGGGTGCTTCATAGCTTTTTCCGGTACCATGCCTTCATAGTATCATAGATTTTCCCATTAATGTATACATATGTATATATGTTATTTTATGTTATATTATATATTTTATATATAAATATTATAATATGACACATGTAGTATATATTATATATAATGTTTTATATTATATAATGTATAAAATAAATTTATATGCATATTATATGTCATTTAATATAAAATATTATATGTAATATTTTATATATAAAAGACAAGTTGGGATCAGGCCCGAAACTAGGCTATATAACCCTCATGACAAATGCAAACCTAACCTAGACTAGGGGTGTCCATCAAAAACCGAAAAACCGAATCGAACCATAAAATGTTGTTAATCGAACCGATCAATTCGGTTTTAGTTTGGTATTTTTGAAAAAACGAAGGACCGGTTTGATTTTCGATTAACCTACAAAAAAACCAGTGTTTAACTGAACTTACTGGTATATATATTTATATGTATATTTAATATATATTTTTAATATATGTCACATATTTTCTATATATTATATATAAATATATATATATATAAATATATACATATATTATATTTACAATAATATATTTATAAATATATTATATATATTTTTAAAATATTTATAATATATTATATATCATTTATTATTTATAATATAATATTATACATATATTTATATCATATATATTATAAATATAAAAAACTAAAAAATCGAAGAATCAAACCGGTCAAAAACTGAAACCAATAGACTGTTTAACCAGTGGTACTGGTTCGGTTTACAAAAAATGCCCATGGTTTGGTTAACCAAACCGTAAACACCCCTAACCTAGACTAGGGTTGTCAATGGGTTGGGTGCAGTTCAGAACAAGGCATAGTAGCCTGAACCAAGATTCAAGATATCGATATGTCCGATCCGCCGATAGGGGCATATCAAGTGATATCAGTACTTTTTTTTTTAAACCGATTCAGGGGCGATTTAAATTCCTCCACCCCTTGAACTGGTCAGAACCTCAACCCTCGGTAGGCACGTACCGAAGAACCCCCAAAATGATACATATCGTCTAATACGTGTCATACTTTGAACCTTACCATGAACCAATTGTTATTATAAACCCAAAACTGTGCCAATTATTAATCAGAGTAATTGGATCTTACCTGATTAAACCTGATTAGGTGATTATACTGACATGTACAATTATCCATGTTAATAAGTAATAACAGCTTAAAACTTCGATTTTGATAATAGAAGCTTAATAGAAAGTAAAATAGCAAATTATTGATATGTTAATAAATCAAATGTCTTTAATCAAAATTGTTTCAAATTTTTTTATCAAATTTACCCTTTTAGATATAAAATATAATATAAATTCAAAAAAGGTAAGAAATAATCTTTATGAATTATTAACTTAATAATTGATTTAAAACAACAAAAACCAATCCTAATCCAATTATTAACCGGGACAAAATCATCAAACTAAAACCAATTAATATAATCAGTTTGATAAAGTAGAACCAACTCATTCATCACCCAAACATAGAATGAAGTAGGAGAGATGATATCGTTGTTCGGACCCCCTACCCACAAGAACCTTGCTCACACCTAAGCAAGCACAAGTGGCACATTGAAAACATCTCCCACATTCACTTGTTTGTCATTCATAGCGAGATATTCCTGATGCACAGCTGTGATATTCTAGGTAGGGTTATTGTAGATTAGAGATCCGAATTGATGATGTTGATATGCAGCAGAATGTCTTGTGGATTCGTGTGAGTAGCCTATCCGAGCTCATGTCCCTTTGTGCCAACATATGGATATGGTGGCCAGTGGGGATGTGCACGGATTGAGTTTAAAATGCAATCCCAAATCGTCTTTAATAGAGTTAAAGAGTTGAGTCGGTTCACATACGTTGCGTTGGGTTCAGCGTCGGGACTATTGGCAGTTCTATACACGGCAGCACAGGACACGTACACGTGGTTCTTGTAGCCACGTGTCAAACCGTGTAAAAGATAAACCGGAAATGTAATGCCACGCATCTTTAACCTCTTTATTTTACCACTTAGGCCACGTGATGCCATCAGAAAGAACATTCCGTGCCTTTCATGTCCCCACATGATAGGAAAGCCATTCAGTACTTCGCATGCCTCCAGAGTCCAGATTAGAATTTAGAGTGAAGAGCATCGGCCCTTTGCCTTCTGGATTAATCATCCATCTCCCATATCCAACGGCTGGAGGGCATCATTCATACTTGGTGGGTGTGCATGGTCATCCCTTCGCTACATGCTTTTATAAACAAAACCCAAAACCAAAAGCCGAAGCAAAATATAATCCATACGTAGAAGTAAGCGCTAACATCCCTGGCCGGCTTGCAGCTTTGCTTTCTCCTTGGGTTGGCGGATGATGCAAATACCCTAAAAACAAGGCCACGTGTAAACTGTTTGGGTTGACACGAACTGTCGAGCTTAGACTACCTACACGTATATATACGTATATGGACTTGCGTATATACAGAGAGATAGAGAGGGTAGGTTTGTAAGATTTAACATTGTTGTCTGAGAGAGAGAGAGAGAGAGAGAGAGAGAGAGAGAGAGGGAGAGAGTTTCACATGAAAAGTCTACGTGAAGAAAGGGAATAAAAGGGGTGGGTAGAGGAGGGTTTTTCTGTGGTCTGTCTGTATGTTTTGTTGTGTGCATAGCTTTAAAGACACTCTAGGGTGACATTGGATCTGAACTCAACTCTCTCTCTCTCTCTCTGTGGCGTGGTGTGGTGGAACGTCTTTCATTCATGTTGTTGTTCTTCACATCAGGCGAATCAGGTTTGCCCCATCTCCACTCAACCGTCAACCCTTTTCTTCTTTAATCCTTTTCAATCTTTGGCGGTTTTGTTTTCATTTCTCTCTGTTACTCTGTAATCTGATCAAAACCCACCTTTACACGGCTAAATAAAAAGACCCCAAAATTACATTTATTCTCTCTGAATATTTTTTTTTATAAAACTTGAGTTCAAAGTAACCTTACATTTTTTAGGTGCTCTCTCTCTCTCTTTGAGAACTTCTAAAGAGATTTCAGTTCCTTCATCATCCTAAATTTTAGTACCACAGCACAGCTGGTTTGTTGTTGTTGTTGCTGCTAGCAGCTGCTGCTAAAAGAGACAAGCTGCAGTTGCTTTTCTTCTTCTCTTTCTTTTTCTTTTTCATATTTTTTTCTCTATCTCTATCTGCTCTCTTGGAGTTTTTCTTATTTTGGAGAAGTGGAAGAAACAGGAGGGGAAGTCTCTTCATTGTGGGATGGGCGTAAGAGGATTACCAGAGAGGAGATGACATGGTGCAATGAGTGCGACGATGACACCAACACCAGAGCCATCCAGATAAGCTCTATTTTGCCACCTGACCTTCTCAATGATAGAGTACTCCCCCAAGACCGTCGCTTCATAATTTGCCCTTCCTGTGGCCATCGAATCCAATCTCAGGACCAGGTGGGTTCTCATCATTCAATTCCCTTGTTATGACTGATTTTTTCTTTCAAACTATCATCTGTATTGATTCTGTTCCTTAAATTTATAGAATATATGTGTACTTAATGCTTGTGCATTTTAATGAACACACAAAATTGGTTGAATTAGGCCGGAATTCCTGACTTGCCGGGGCTACCCGCCGGAGTAAAGTTCGACCCAAGTGACCAAGAGCTTCTGGAGCATTTGGAAGCGAAGGTGCGATCCGATATGCACAGGCTCCACCCTCTCATAGATGAATTCATACCCACCCTCGAAGGAGAGAATGGAATTTGTTACACTCACCCTGAGAAGCTACCAGGTGAACCTCCAACAACCCCCATCACCATTCTTACGCTATCTCTTCTACGTACCTGTGAACTTACATTCATGCTTACGCATTCGTGATTCATGTATCAGTTCTGTGCATGTATTTCTACAGATAGTATCCAGTCCAGTTGCACCTCCGTCGCATTTTATTACGCATCAATGCTACTAGTTAACTTTTGTTAATAAAATACCTATTCAGGGAACAGATTAGGTGAGGTCCCTGAATAGGTTTTCTATTCTCTAACAGCTTTCTGAGTATGTTCGTTTTGAAGCTGTAAATGAAACCAGTCCTCACTTGCAAAAATAGTGACCTATATATCTTACTCACGTTGATCAAAGATGCATGATTGTTCAGGGGTTAACAAAGATGGGCTAAGTCGGCACTTCTTCCATCGACCTTCCAAGGCGTACACCACCGGAACCAGAAAGCGAAGGAAGGTGCACACAGATGCCGACGGGAGCGAGACGCGATGGCACAAGACGGGTAAGACTCGGCCGGTGTTTGTAGGTGGAAGGCTAAAAGGATACAAGAAGATACTTGTGCTATACACGAATTATGGTAAGCAAAGGAAGCCAGAGAAGACCAACTGGGTAATGCATCAGTATCACATTGGCAACAATGAAGAGGAGAAGGATGGAGAACTTGTGGTTTCAAAGGTTTTCTATCAGACACAACCCAGGCAATGTAGCTCAATTGTGAAGGAGGGTCTCTCTGGTAAGTCCAAGGGTGTGATAGGTCATGAGAGTTCAAGCTTCAGGGACGCCTCGTCCCTGGTTGAATACTATAATTCTCCATTCTTCTCATACGATCAAAGTGGCCATAATAGAGAAAGCCCACCTCAGCTAATACCCAATTTCGTCCTTCATCCTGATGGGTCTTCATTTCTTCCTTAAAAGGAAAGCTCACATTGCTAAAGAAAGAATTAAAAAGCAAACAGTAGCTCAGAGATAGCTGTTGCGTGTACTCGTCATCAAATAATAAATTATTTGCATTACTATTTTGATAATAATGAAGAGAGGGAAATAAAAGGAAACTGACTCCTTGTTTAGATGCTAATAAGTGTTCATTCTTTTAGGTCTGAAATAGAAATCAGTTGTGTTGGTACATCGATCGTTTTTGTAGCTATCGATCCATCCAGGCTTTCAACAGGGGTCAACGCACCCTTACAAGGGGTCCCTCCTTGCCTCATATATAGCTCTATACTACCGAGACCGAGAGAGTCATGTTGATGTAAAGCTGTACAAACACTATTCATTCTTACTGCCCAGACTGTCAAATTGATGCTTCCTTCCTCCATACTTGGTTTTTTGGTGTATTAATTAATAACTGAATAAATGAAACAACTACTCTCTCTCTCTCTGAACTTCTAGGTAGCAATCCTCTCTTGATGAGACGAATGTAGTTATTTCCTAAGGATAAGAAAATTAAGGATCTGGAAAGACTGGAATCCGGAATTCACCCGTTTAGAGGACTCAAAACAGGTTCAGGCTGAGCCTGAGCACCATCGGACATTTCGATGGTCTATGGGAAATGCAAGGCCAGATGTAGTCAAAAGACAGAAATACTTTTGAGAGATTCCCGTTTCCTGGATCTGATGTTGTGTTATATTCTTCCTTCTTCCCCACTACTAGAATTTGCAGTGCTTTTCCACTTATTGGGATCTTCAGCAGATTTGTCTTGTCCAGAGTCGAGGAATATATATATAGATAATTCCTTTAGTACTAGTTTAAGTCCTGAAACGGCTTGAATTTGAAATGGGTATCAGTCTGATCACCTGAAACTGAAAGATCAAAAATCTCTTAAAAATCGTAAATTTAAGCCATTTCATCTGTTACGTGATTTGTTTTTCAATTCTAATGAAACTCATCAACCGCTAGCTCTAAGTAACTGGTCCAACCATGTCTGATATTTCAGCAGTAATGGATCCTGATTCTGATCACTGCTGATGAGTATATTGAGTTATTGACCCACTACTTCAACTGTCTGTACAAGTGAAACGCATCAATTAAGGTCTTCTTACGTTCAGCAGGAGACGTCACACTCACACACAAGATGCCCCTTCCAACAATTAACAACAGCATAATCGCTTATTTAACGACTCTATCCCTTGAGAGGGAAATCTGGGTTCAACAAAGACGTACAGGTGACGAGCCACAATTCAGTCCTACCTTGAGCTCCAATGGCGACCACCCACATATTCTAATTGCCTGCAATCTCTGCAAATAACTCTCGGGCCGGGAATGGGCTTACTCGTATAACTTTCAGTTTTAAAAGCCTCCGTCTAACAGAGGGGGTATTTAGTTCAGTCGATAATTGTCACGGACCCAATAGTAAGGAGCATTAACTTCAATTTACCCCTTTTTTGATAAATTGGAAAATGCATTAACAAAGCCCAAAAAACTCACAACATAAACATAAAAAAAAAGTAATAAATAATGATGGAACTCTTGCATATATATATATATATATATATATATGCATTTATAGGCTTTAATTAATAAGGCGATATTTGATTCTTGGTCATCAAAATGAGTGGTATGGATCCATCATAACCACAAATCTCTTAATTTGTTTTCAACCACACAATGCAAAAGAGGCTGCTATGTTTCGGGGTGTCCATGAAAAACTGAAAAATCGAATTGAATCGTAAAATGCGGTTAATTCAATCGATCGGTTCGTTTTTTATTTAGTATTTTTGAAAAACCGAAAAACTGGTTTGGTTTTCAGTTAATCTATAAAAAAACTGATGATTAACCAAACTGACCGGTATATATATTTCTATGTATATTTTATATATATTTTAAATATATATCACATATTTTCTATATATTATATATAAATATATATTCATTATATATATAAATATATACATATATTATATTTATAATAATCTATTGATAAATATATTATATATTTTTAAAATATTTATAATATAATACTATATATATATTTATATAATAAATATTATAAATATAAAAAACCAAAAAACAGAAGTACCAAATTGGTCAAAAACCAAAACCAGCATACTAGTTAATCGATGGTACTGGTTCGGTTTTGATTTGGAGAAATGAAAAAACCGGTAGTACCGATTCGATTTGTAAAAGTTGCCTATATAGTTCGGTTATCCGAACCGTGGACACCCCTAGCTATGTTCATGTTGATGGTTCATTTTTTATGCAACAACTGATTATTGATCATGTGAAGTTTTGAACATATATTTTCACTAATATTTACTCTTAATTGTATTTGTACAGCCATCATCATTATCATTGGACATTATGACTGGAGCCATATTAATTAGGGGTGTAAATGATTCGAATTCAAATCAAGCAATATCCGAATTTGAATTGAATAAGAAAATTCGATTCGATATCCAAAGGATATTGAAAGTTAATATTCGAATATGAATCTGATTAAATATTCGAATATCCAATTCAATTTGAATTTGATTAATTAATTATTTTAGATAATTCCTTTAGTACTAGTTTAAGTCCTGAAACGGCTTGAATTTGGCTGGACTCAAGAGATGTGGTCAAGGTTTGTGTTGGTGGAAAGGAAGTAAGGTTAATGGACAAAATCATAAGCTACATAGTCATCCAGTAAACATTAGGAGTCAAAATTACATAATAGAGTGAGTCCAAGTAAAATTTAAACTCATAAAAGTGCAAGTCATTCTAATAGATCATCCAATTACACAAACAAAAACCAAGTTTTAACTTCATGTCTAAAGAGAATTTCAAAGTTTGAACTAACACAAAGTGGTAATAATCATACCCAGAAGGCCGGCAACAATATTTCTACTCAACAGATCTACAATATCGTCAAATTATGTTATAATACTATTTCATATACTCCACACAGTACCAGTAGTTTTCACCGGAGAATATATCAATTATAGACAATTATGTAAGACTCAAACTGGACTAAAACTGGAATGCTCCATGAGTCCCAGTTTTACTGGTTAATCGGGCAGTTAACCTGTTCAGCCTATAAACCCCCATGAAAGCCATCATTTAACTGGGATCTGGAAAGGCCACTGGTTCCCAGTTTTCACAGTCTGAGCCAAGTCTTATAACATTAATTATAGTAATATTTTGTGTCGGTACCCATGGAAATAGAAATATGTAATGAAAATATTAGGAAACATGTGGACATTTTAAACCATTGATCTACTAATTAATTCCTAGTTAGGGAAGTCAAATCCTTGGGCAGAATCCTGAATTGCTCATTCAGATGGTTTCTAAGGAGTGAAAATGGGTTGTTGAAAGACTTGCTAAGTCTGCAACTTCAAGGTAATCTTTAGAATGGGGATGTCTAGGTCCTGGGATCAATCTGTAACTGTTGGTTCATGTAATATATATTTGCCGTTTGCTTTGTTCTGATCCCGTTACCCATTACCCATTTGGGACAACATGTATTCTTTCATGTGAATGAAATCCAAGATTTATAAAACTTTATAAAATACAAACCCAGGCCCTGGTATTCCACAAACAAGGTTTTCCCTTATTACCCCTGCTTTTTCTCAAACACAATGGCATACTTCCCATCAAAAATAAGCAATTCTCTAGTAAGGACCCGAAATAGGAACATTAAAAATAAAATTAGACTTCATATTCTTGTTTAAGATTTTAACTCCATAGTGTTATAGAAATCCTAAAAACAATATACCGGCAGTCTATCAGTCTTTAGTGGCAGTTTTAAATGGCTGCTGCTACAAACTCGTATTTCTAGCGGCAGTCATCCATCTGTCGGATAGAAAACGGCCGCTAATGCCCAATTTTCTTGTAGTGAAGATTCTCGTTCAGCTGTTAAAACTTTTTTAAATCCCTGAACATCCATCTTTCTATTTTATTTATCTAAACGATTTATGGTTCGATTAGTTTTCTAAATATAATATTAAGTTCTCTTGATTGCTCTGATAGATCCTTACAAATTTCTAATTGGATTTAATATTCAGATGATAGATAATTTTTATATTTCCTGATAGATAAAAATTTAAGTTTTCATTTTGTTTTTCTTGATTTATCAGAGAAAGGAATGGATATTTTTTTATATTTTATGTCAATACAAGGATTAAAGTATCGGTATCAGTATCTTATCGGACCATTCGGATATGGATACGGATACGAATACAAATATGGATACGCTTTGAAAATGCATAGATACGAATGAAAAAAATATCAAAATGCATGGATATACTAGGAGAATACATACAAATTCTATAAATACAATAAAATCATTAAATTTAAGATCAAAATAATCACAAATAGTATATAAATACATAGGAAATGTATATTTTAGTGATATATATGAAGAAATATATTATAATTCATATATCAATATGCATAGATATCATATAATTTTATTTATAATGCAACAATCAAGAGTCCAAAGCACTAAATATATGCACCTAATATATTTTAATTATTATATAAGTTATTTTTATTTTACTTTTTAAATTTTTTAACATTAATAAAAAGTCAACTGAATATTAAATTCTCAAATACAAATTAAAATATTAATTAATAATTTAAAAAAATCTAGCCTTAATTTAAAGTATATCAAAATTAATTCTTAAAATTTATAGTATACATATCATATAAAAATTCATAATTTTTAATTACTAAAATAATTATTCCTTTATTTATATAATTTTTCTAATATGAAAAATATTTTTTTGAAATAAATGTAAATTAATGGATTTGATAAATTCAATTTAATGTTATATTCTTAAATATTTTATAAACAATGTTTTTCTTTTTAATAAATAATAAATATGTTGTTATTACTTATTAATATAAATTAAAATTTTAATTAATAATTTGTAAAAATGTATAATATTTTTAATATGCATATCATTTGCAAATTTATAAATTTTATGTATTAAAATAATTATTCTATTCTCAATATTTTATTTGTATAATTTTCTTGATATTAAAAATCATCTTTTTATATAAACATGGATTTGATAGATTATTTGTTGTATTAGTTTATAAAATATTGTTTTTGAATATGCATCAACCTGTATCACTATGATACATAAGACTCACGGGATATGCTTTTGTTCGTAGCGTATCCCGTACCGCCATAGGTCGATACAGATACGATACGCCCTATATCGATATTTAAGTCCTTGTGTCAATGAAATGAAAAAAAATTAAAGAAACTTTTTTTATGCCAATGAAATGATTCTTGTTATTTTAGTTGATTTCATTTGGAGAAAATAGAAAACATTTTGGGGTCAATTAGGGTTTAAGAGAAAAAGGCAAGAAAAAGAAAATAAGAAAAGTTCAAGTGGGTATTATAATGCATTCCATCATATGACCTAACAATCTGAGGGTATTTATCACAAAGGCTCAATTTAGAAGGAGTACAAATAGAAATCTGTGAAGTGCAAAACCTTGTATTTTGTATGTATCTATATTGTACATATTTGCATTTATTCTCTTTCCAAACTAAGCCAAAGTGAAAATTGAGGGAGGATTTTGTTACAAATGAAATTTCAGGGGATAATTGCATAGTAATAGGTGACTTTGTAATTTACCCTTTCTAAAAACATATAAGATTAATATAAAGTATTAAAATACATGTAAGTCATAGGGCTAATCTTGTCCTAAAAGTAGAGGTGTAAATCGGGTCGGGCCATGAATTTGGGCCGGCACGGCATGACGGCATACAGGTCATGCCAGGCCCGGCACGATGGTCTAGGCCATGTTGAGCCTGGTTTCCAGGTCCACAAGCCAGCACGACATGACCCGCAAGCCCATAGTGGGCCAAGCGGGCCTCGCTTGGCTCAACCGATGAATTAGCCATTGGGAGGACCCCCAACAGCTAGTTTTAGCTTTTTGGGGTTTTTTACAGAAATACCCCCCCAACAACTATAAACAGCTATATAGGGGGTATTCGTATTTGGTTTTGGGGGAGAGAAAGAATAACACAAATGCCCCCAGTAGTTATATAACAACTAGTTTGGGGGGCGTAATAAAAATTCTACAACTTGTACAGCTGTATCTTCCACTTCTGAACTTGAATCCAGAAGTGGAAGAGAAAAATTTTTTATTTAATAAGAGGTAGAAATTCACTGCCTTGACAACAAGTTCATTTACTAAACTAAATTTTTATTTACAAGCAAATTTTTCTACTTTAAGTAATTCTTCCTTCACCTCGGAGGGAATAAATGATTTTGATGTTTTAATATGGTGGAGTGAACATAGAAAAAATTATCCAATTCTCGCCGCCATGGCATGTGATCTACTAACCCTCAGGTGTCTACAGTTCCATCGAAATCTTGTTTTAGTACAGGTACTAGGGTGTTGGACAATAAGAGAAACTGTATAAATGATGAAAGTCTAGAGATGTGTATCTACTTTAAAGATTGGCTAGATTTTGAAGATAGATTACAAGACAAAGAAGGGCATAGCACTACATCTGATGTTTCACACTTTCACTTGACGCAGATGATCAAAGTCAAGAACAATAAGTGAAAATGATGAAGTCAATATTTCTTGTATACTCTAGTTGTATAACATTTTTTCAAATTATTGTAATTTTTTTATTTTATTTAATTTATTTGATATTTTTTAATAACATAATTTTTATTTTCAACATATAATTTTATTGTACTTTTTATATTTTATTAATTTATTCCATTATCCAATTTTCATATTTCATTCATCCAACCATTGTATGCTTTGTATCATTCAAATTTAAATGAAATAAAATTCATATTTTTCTTTCAATTTGTTATTCACTTTGAGTCTTTGTCTCTGACTTCTTATTTGGTTAAGTATTTTTTTTTCATTTCTTTGTTAAATTCCTTATTTTTCAAAAAATTCCCAAAAAAAGTCTAACCCAGTTCGATCCAAGCCCAAGGCCTGGCCTGTGGCCTACCTCGGCACAGCCTACAGCCCACCCAGCCCAGGCCCGTGGCGTGGCATGGCACAACACAGGCCTGCACGAACCTGCACAAGCTTGAGCCATAAGCTGTGCTGGACCAACCCCCAAATTATCCCTGAAGAGAGCACGGCCCATTTTACACCTCTACCCAGAAGTGAACTCATCAACTATTCTATTGATGTGTAATTGATATTTTTGAATCTTGGTGGAAGGATAGGTTAGCTCAGGTCGACTTGAACTAGTAGTGACAAGATATGCCATCTGGGAATCAAAACCTCGGAAACTCCATTCCTAATGAATCTTGATGGATTCCTCCCTGACTTGGCAACGAGAATCAAATACCGACGCAGATACCCCAGTTTAACAAAATCAATCACATACAAAGGCAAACGTAAATCAATCCATCCATCTACAATTGTACAACACAACAAAGAACAGAGTAGTCAGTAGCCCAATCAAAAACAAATAACCAACCACTCGAAACAAAAACATGCAGAAAGAAACAAAAGTAAAATGGAAATCAGAAGACACTCGTGAAGTCCACTTGCCTTTTTACAATACCAAGTGTAACACCCTGTAATATATTCTATGGTAGGAGGAAGCCCAAGTCGTAGTAAAGAAAAATTCCTGTCTAGGGAACCACACACAAGCAGAACTTGAACGAAAAATAGAGGGAAGAAAAATAATGAAAAACCGTCCCGGCAACCCCCATCTCCCAAAATGTTGCTGTAATTGGCACTCAAATGCAGCACGAGGTACCAGTTAATTACATTATAGAGATGTTCCTCAGCCCAAAAAGCGGATGGCATTTCAAGGGAACGAACCCTCCTTGAAGAATTGCACTCTGCAAGTGTGGTGAGTTGATCTAAGTAATACCTACATAAATTACAGTCCTCTATACAAGTCATATACCAGAGACTATTTCTTGAGTACGTGTTTCTCATATAGAGCGAGGATGTCCTTCTTGTTGGGATTCCTCAACTGAAGCAACTCTGCACCAAAACCATGTTTTGTGAGCTCTTGCTTCAGTTTCAGCACGGTGAACTTAGTATAGTCCTCTGACTCTGTATGCTGACTGTGATTGTTATCATCACTGACCTTGAAAACTGAACCTCCATCTTCTGATTGGGCATACTTCAAAGGGCTTGTTGTACTTTTGGATCTCTTTCTTCCTCTGATTATCTTGTCATCAACGTCCATATCTTGGACAGATTCCAAACCCCCATCATGGTCATCAAGCCTTGAACGTTTCCCATGTGAAGCAGTTTTTAGTTTACTATCCAATGCTGTTTCATTCAGACGAACTGAAGTCAATTCCTGCTGGAGTAGATCCAATTTTCCTTGAGTGGTTTGTAGTTGTACAGATAGGCTTTCTGCCCTGTTGTTTGCCTCTGCTCGGGCTGCTCGTTCAGTTGCAAGAAGGCCCTCAAGAACTTGAACTGTGCTAGCCCTTTGTTCATTGTTTGATTTCAATAATGACTCGATCTCTTTCTCCCTCTCTTCAACCCTGGCCTCCAGTAGTGCCACTTTAGACAAGGCATCCATTTCAGAGGCACGAAATCTCTCTACTTCATCTGCTAGGTCAGCCTTCTGTCTCTCCAGGTTCTCGATGTTCCTTTCAGCTCTCTCAATTTGGGCCAATCGCTCCATTGCAACCCGCTGGACTTCACTTTTTTCCCTTTGAGCAGTGACAGCTTCTGCTCGTGCTATATCAGCCAAATCAGTTGCTCTCTTAGCTTCCTTTTCAGCAATTTTACATCTTTCCTGGACTTCCTCGAACCTCTTGAACTCAGATAGGTATTTCTGCTCCAGATGAGTCTTCTCTTGCTCCATTATCCTAGCTTCTCTCTCAAATGACTGAGCTGTGGCTTTAACAGCATCCAATTTCTCAGCTAACTCTTTTATTTCACGTTTCAGTGCCAACATTTCCGAGTCATAGCTCTTTACTTTTGCCTCAGCAGCCTGCAAATAGATTATAAAATATCATTACGTCATCATTGGAAATTCAAGCAGGAACATGAAGGTAGTTTTCTTTGTTGCAAGGAACCACTATCTTTGTAAGATGATGCCTTGACAATAAGATGCTTTTATAAAGTCTCGTAGTCTGGGTAGATGACTATATCTTCCATGTATAGCATCACCATTATAAAAGAGTATGGCAATGCAATGATACATCTAAAATAATATGTTAACATCTTTTGCAATAGCTACTTTTATAGACAGAAAGCTGCATAAATAGACACAAGAAGATTCAATCTGGTACTGTGTGGTACTCTTTGAACCCTCATAGAAACTTACTTTCAACTCCAAACTCAAAGTGGTGACACGCTGCTCAGCCTGTTCAAGCTCAGTTATCTTGCCTTTAATCTCCTGTTCCTGTTATTTATTAAGAAAAAAAGTTATTATCAGTACTTGTAAAGTAAAAAAGGAGAGTGGATGAAATTGAGGAGTGAAATAGAGATTAACCTTTTCAGCCAAAGTTGCAGAGAATTCCTCCCTCAAAGCATCTTCCCTTAGTTGTGTCTGCTTATTTGTTCGCTCTTGCACAGCAGCCGCCTTCTCCAGAGCAACCTTGGTTTCTCTAACAGCAACATCATACTTCCGTTTCCACTCCTCTGCCTCTTCTTGTGCAGACTGCGCTTGTTCACGAGCAGCAGCCAGCCTTGCTTCAGCAGCACTGGTTCTGGATTTGAGAATTGCTATTTCTGCACTTGATTGGTCCTCCTCAGCTTTCTGCTTTGAAAATATCTGTTCGTATTTTCTTTTCCATTCCAAGGAATCTTGTGCTGCAGAATCAAGATTTTTTGATAAGCTTGAACACCTCTCTTCCAAGGAGCTGCATTTGCTCTGCAAGGCAGTAATACGGCTCATATATTCATCAGAAATCTTCTTCTTGTCATTGATAGCATCTTCATAACGTTTCAGATATTCAGTTTTATACTTTTCACTTGCTTCCAGCTGCTTCTTAAGTAAGCCCAACTTGTCCTCGATAGAGCGGTGTTTCAACATGAGATTACTCTTCTCTGACTCAATTTGATCAAGAAGCTTCTTGGCAAGGTCAAGGATTGGCCCTTCCAGACTGGGAAGTTTGACAACATTAGATGAAAGTTAAAATGTAAACTTTAAAAATTACATTGGACAATAAGACAAACCTTTGCTGTAAGAAGACTGCAAGCTTCTGCCACTTTCCTGGACCGTGAGATGAAGCTTGATACTCAGATAGAAGGCCCTCAAGAACCTGCAGGGAATATTTATGGCCATGTCAAATAAGCAACATGCTGCTGATCAGTTACAGTACATCATACAAAATATAAATAATCATTGTGAATGAGGAATTCCCAGAATCACAATGGTGCAAAAGAGCATTTCCAAATAACTGATTCAGGCCAATGATCCAGTAGTTCGGACGGCACTTGGCATCCCTCTAAAAGATGAGGCACAGTATCAAACCCACATACCCACAGGCTCTCCATGGTAAGGTCCGTGGACCTCACATGCACCCTTCTGTCCCCACCCCATGAGCCCGCTGTAATGTGCTATGTAATACCAAAAATCACCGAGAACAGTTTACCTAGAAACCAAGCCCACAAGATTACTATATCTCAAACTTATTAAAAATAATACTTATATATGACATCACAGGTCCTTGGGTCAACCAAATGATTAGACTGCTTGACACATGGCCTGGTGGTCTTTCCAGTTTGATGGCCTGTCTTACAACATTGGTTTAATGGCCAATATTTCTGTTGAAGCTTCTAGTAATAACTTCCAGATGCACCCTGGATGGTTTATATTTCAATATGTTGACGGATACCTAAAAAGAAGAAATGATGGCCATCATGAAAAAAAAATAATATTTGTTATCACTAATCACTAAAAGAAAAATCCTTTTCATAGAAGTTCCCAAGCTTGAAACAGGGCAACAGACTCATGGATGAGTACACTACAAATTTCTTCAGCTTGCTTCATGAAATGTACAGCTGGAAGATGAGTAATCCATGGACAACATACGACTGGGCAATATTACCACTTATATATCAACTTGGGGATCATTTTTCCATCCTGATGTGGGCGTGTTTATTGGGAAGAAGTATCGCCGCCGGCAGCAGCAGTAATTGGGTGTTCTCAGTTCTCATCTTATCTAATTCCAGCTAGATACA